CATGCCAGACATTTCTCCCGAGAAGGATGATGAAAGTGAACTTCACGATCAAGGCATCTGGGGGAAATGCAAGACTGTTCCGGATCCTGAGTACTACCAGGCCGCGAAGGATGCAGAGGACCAGAATGAGAACGCGTTCGACAAAATGGGCAAGGCAAAGGAAAAGATCGAGCTCGTTGATCTCGAAGAGTTCAAACATTTCCTTAATCAGCTCACCGAAATCGAACGACAAAGCCCTATGCGGATGCTCTGCAAGCAGCTGCATGGATATGGCTATTCAGGCTTGTATCATACAGGACTTCGTGATCCTGACTACGAGCCCGTTCTCGCCTACAAGGTGCAGCATATGAGTTGGAGGGTAAATGTTCCGAACCACAAGGGACAGAAATACTCTCTCTCTATGGTGGATCTATTCGACCAACTCAACAAGATGGATCCCATCTATGAGCGTCGTCCCGACAAAAAGGACGTTGTTTTTCGTTCTGGGGACGTTCGTAGCACCTTGGACGACAAGCTCATGGGCAAGGCCTCTGACATCCGAGAATCAGCACTGGATGTTATGGAAGCACTTCTTGATAAGCTGAAGTCCCTGGATGCAAGCGGCAATCCGGCAACTCGAGAAGAACTTTTGAATGCTATGCTTCACTACTTCTTGAGCACCGGAGTCGATGAAGAGGAGATCGGGGACCTCTCTCTTGAGAAGACGCCGAATCCTTATATTCATCGTTTTGGTCTGGCGGAGGACTCCAATGTCCCTATCTTCACCAGCAAGACCAAGTATGCCGCGCTCATCCTCAATCTCGGCAACATGAGCAGGGGAAGAAAGCGTTCCGCTCCTAGCTCCGTTGCTAATCACATTGACTGGGACGATGCTACACCATCAAAAGGAGCCTTGATAAAATCGATTGCACAGTCGAAGACGCATTTGTTCATGCTCTGCGAAGCGGCTAAGATCGATGACTCCGAAGAGGCCTTCCTCAAGTCACGCGGTTGGCAATTCCTTCGTAACGAGTCCAAGGACCTGATGGTGGGAAGTCGTACAAATGGTGTCGGATCTTCGATCACCCGTCTTGCCGGCTCCACTCTCAGTGGATATGCCCACGAGTCCCTTCCAATAACCTATATGGTCGCGGAAATCGTGTATGGCATGACGTTACCGACCGGTCTCCAGGGCAGTCGTGGTGATGTTCCAGATGAGTCACTGACCAAGGTCTTGGAGCGAGCTGGATCCGACCGGCTCAGAGTTTGTGTCTTCCACCTCCACAATGACGCGGCGGCAGACAAGGTGGCGTTGGCTCATGAAGTGTTGGGCAACATGTTCATCGACTGCTTGCACTACCAAGTCGACCTCATCGGTGGCGACGCCAACATGGCCCTCTACCGGGCCACCGGCAGAAAGCAGGAGTCGATGGATATTCGTGGCGGGATGTACCAAAGCCTTCTCGACTACTTCTTGGAGGCATGGTCAGAAAGCCCAAAGTGCCCACACTTCTGTTCGCCTCGTGCGAGACATGTGTCAGCAAACGCCATGTGGCTTCTGAAACAGTATGAGGACACGCTGGGAATGCCATACAAGGAAGCTAAGCAACCAGACTGGAATACTTTTCCTGGTTTGGATCCTGTTATGGCTACAGTCATGGAATGGGGACACAGCATGTCGGACGATCAATGGGCGGAGTTTCCGTCTTCAAAGACTGAGTTCGACATCCATGTCTCTGAGTGGCTGTTAAACTCCACCAGCGCCGCGTACCTTCTCAACGATCGGGACTATGACGCTCACACTCCGCTCCTCATCGAGGTTCACGCGAACCAGTACTCTGGAGGCAGGATGAGAGCGCTCAACCGCAATCCCGACACCGTGAAGGAAGCCGCGGACAGAAGAAAAGAGAGACAGAAGCTGAACAAGGCGCGTGGTTCTGGTTCTACTGGTCCTGCAGCCGCACCACAGGGAGCAAGCTCTTCTCAGGAAGAGGCAGCTTCTGGTGCTAAAGCTTCTGGTTCTCAACGTCCTCCAGAACCCGCACAACCTCCTGGTGGCAAGGAAGGCGGCAAAGGAGGCAAGTCCTCCAAAGGAAAAGGCAAGGACGCCGACAAGGGCAAGTCCAAGGGCAAGACCAAGGACAAGTCCAAGGGCAAGTCCCAGGGCAAAAACTGACTAGGTTCAGATCAGGGCGAGGACGCAGACGTTGACGTTCCTGACGAAGACGTTGGTCCTGGCCCAGCATCCTTTGGTGATAGACCGTGGTTCCCATTTCGCCTGCAGCTTTTTCACTGGCATTTGGAGAGATGGTACTACCCTCACCACCATTTGCCTCATCCTGATGACAGTCCTCGTACTCGTCGTAGGGTGGAGCAGTACAACCAGAGGGTGATGAACCAAGGTCCGATGGAAGAAGTGGAGTGAGTGTTTCACGGAATGCTTCTTTCATAAGAAGGTATCCAGTTTGAGCATTCGCTATTTCATAGGAAGATGCTTTTCTCATGAAGAGGTACTTCCTTAAAGACCTTGTCAGAAAGAAGATACTTATCTCAGGATAAGATACTTCTCATGCCCTTATACAGGGTTGAGCTGTAAGCCTTTTTGGAGGAAGTGGTGAAACCTTTTTGTGACGTTTCGATTGTCAAGTTTTGGCCAAGCAACTGGCAGGCAAGATGCCACACAACGTAAAATCCACCACGACCACCGTTGGCAACAAAAGTGTGCGTGCACACCACTAGCTACAAGCCTATGTTATGTCTTTGCTTCGCATCCTGCTGTGTGATGGCATCAGGGAGCATGCCACGACATGCCAGCACAAGCTTGTCTTAGCTATGTTGAAGCTTTCGCTGCCCACTTGTGCAGTGCATTTCAGGTGCCTTTGGGGTGCGTTTCAGGTGCGCTTCAGATTCTTGGCATTTGGCAATATGGTGCATTGCAGGTGCGTTTCAGGTGCATTTCAGGTGCGCTTCAGCGTGGTCGGCGATTGTGGTCGACAGGGTCCTGGCCGTCGGTTGGTTCGGAACCCCCAGGATAGGTTGCTAAGGCTTGTAGGCCTAAAGTCACGGTTAAAGTCGGGTAGACGAAGACGGCCATTCCATGAGGACCAGCTGCTGAACCAAGGGGACCAACAGCGGAGTCAGAGATGACTAACAAAATTGATGCTGGGGGCTGCTTGTCGCGAACCCCCAGGATATGTTGCTAAGGCTTGTGGTCCTATTCTGGGGGTTTGATTGTGTCTGCTGCAGCGCTCAGTTTGTGGCTGCTACTTGCAGCCATAACTTGCATTGCTGGAGCCAGTTGTCCGCATGCTCTTTTTTAACCCCGACAATTGCTTGCTAAGACTTGTGGTCCTGTCCTGGGGGTTCAGGAGAAGCAATCCACGGCATCAGCTTGGAAAGTGATCTCTGACTGCGCTGTTGGTCCCCTTGGTTCAGCTGCTGGTCCTCATGGAATGGCCGTCTTCGTCTACCCGACTTTAACCGTGACTTTAGGCCTACAAGCCTTAGCAACCTATCCTGGGGGTTCCGAACCAACCGACGGCCAGGACCCTGTCGACCACAATCGCCGACCACGCTGAAGCACACCTGACATGCACCTGACACGCACCTGCAATGCACCATGTTGCCAAACGCCAAGAATCTGAAGCGCACCTGAAATGCACTGCGCAAGTGGGCAGCGAAAGCTTCAACATAGCTAAGACAAGCTTGTGCTGGCATGTCGTGGCAAGCACTTTCATGGGCTTGTGCTCCGAGATCATCCAAGCAGGAGAGATAGGAAGCAAAGGGATTGGGCTTGGAGGCATTCGATGTTGTTCACGTGCGTAGTGGATTGTCAGTCCAAGTCAACTTGACGGCACGAAAACGTGCTCTCGGCAACGCAACCTTTCTAAGTTGCGACTGAACTTTTTGGTTCAAGCCAAAGTCGTACAGCTCAACCCTGTTATATATTTGCCGTGTCGCAAGATGTCATGCTGGCATCAAGTGGAGCTAAGCTCTACAATCCTTTATGTGACAGTAAGCTTTCCGCCTGGAGAGGAAACTGAACACAAGTGGGCAACTTTCAAGCAAAAGTTTTCAGTTGAAGATCCGTTTGCGTTTTCGTGCGTGTTCTGCTCTTTTCATTGAAGCTGTCTTCAGGTGAGAGATGTATAGATTCTCTTCAAGTCGCAGATGTAGCTCAATACTCCGCTAATTCGACCGAGAGCAATAACAGGCTAGTTGAATGCCGACTCCACGGCCATGCAGCTCTACGTGTTTTAAATTTGTGCCTGGTTGAAACACTGAATGTTACACATCCAGGTGCCTGTCTGTTTCACGTATCACTTGCATGTATCCATGCCTGTTGCTCAAGGTTCTAGTGCAGTGGACTACAGCTGTGCGCCTGCAGCAAAAGAGACACCTGAGTGCCTGTGTTCCTGCACGCCTAGCGAGGGGATACACGTCCAGGTTACATCTCAGGGGGGGAGGGGAGGGGGAGGGAGGGGAGGGGGAGGGGGGGGAGGCCGACAAATCAGGTAAAATAAGGGGAAGCCGGGCAAGGGGGTGGCAAACGAACGCAAAAAGCAGGTGTCACGAGGAGGATTAGGTGGAGGGTACCTGAGGTAACCACCAAAACGCCTGGGCCTCTGGCCTCGGCGGATAACAATAACAATAACAATGCTTCTGGTAGTAGTAACAACGATGAGAAGAACGACAATAATGACAATCACAATGTCGAGCCCCAAAACGGGCCACTTACCGAGGAGTCTCGAAGGCAGCTGTACACTGCTCCTGGGGCAGCTGCAGCAAGCAAAGTCCTCAGAGCTGTTGGGATTGCTCGGAGGGCAGTGAAACGAAGTTGTGACATCGGTCATCACCATGGTGCTGCGGACACCTCTGGTCATAGTCACAGTCGTGCGATGTACCGACTAAGCAAAGTTCAGGAGCAGTATGCGAGCATGGGGGATGCGCCACTGAGAGCACAGTCTTGCGGCCCAAGCGAGGACGTGATCTCGTTGCTGAACTTGGGCGATTGTGGAATAATGGCATTAAGGCTGACGCGGTTTGTTGTGCCAGCAGCAGCATCCGAGCGTCACTAAATTGACCTGACCTATAGCAAAGCTGCCGAAGCAACGGATTGCAGCATGCAGCCGCAGTGCAGACTGTTCGTGCGCAGGCCTTGTTCCATCCTGCCCAGATTTCACGGTGGCACCGTGAAAACGAGTATGCGCCTGATATACAGGCTGGATCATCAAGACTTCGGCCACAGGGGGAGACAGATCTGGTTGGAGAGCTTTGGTTGGACGACTGTGTGATTCTGCATGTGGGGGCATCCTGTAGTAGTCTTTACCGGAGAAACTCAAGGGGGTTCAAGCAATGCCCTGGAATGTCTCGTTGGCATTTGTCGATCCAGCATGGAGTGGAGGTCGACACCAATGCTTCATCGCACAAACATGCCCCTGCAGCTGAGCGCGCAGGAGACTTGTTTTTCTCTGACCAGTACGTAACGTCGTTACAGCAACGACGTGGACCGCATGGTTGAAGATCAAACTACAGACTGCTACAGAAACATCGGCGCGCGAGGATCCAGATGTTTCCAGCCTCACCGACTACTTCGACCTCGTCACGTGCGCAAGAGCCTTCCTTCGGTCAGATGCACTGTTTTGTGGTCGTGCCATGAGAGAAGGGAGCTCAAGTATCCCTGTAGTTTTTCAATGGTGACCCTTTTCGTGGGTGTGTCCACAGTTTGACTCCGCACGGCGTTAGTTCTTCATGACGTCAGCACGGGGCCGTTTGCACGTCGCGTCCCACCCGCAGCATCTTGCAGCCAAGCAGTGCAGCCTCTTGGACAGATCCAGAGGCCGAAATGTCCGAAAAAGGCCGCGGGCTCAGCTTTCACACTCTGCACTGGGAGGCCGATCGACAAGTTCTCTGCGTATTGAGACGCGAACCTGAGGCCATTCGAAGCAAGTTTACAGCGACCAACCCAAAATCGCCTGAACCTCAGAGAACATACTTGTGGAAGTCTCTCAGACCTTGATCCCGGGAAGAGCCCGAGGTGGAATTTGCATTCCGCACACTGTCTCGGAGCTCAGGACTTGGCGTGGCTGCCATGTGGGGCTCCTCCGCAGGTGCATCTGGTCTGCCGATATCAGACGTCGATTTGGCCCGATGATCCCAGCAATCGACAGGCAGGCTACACTTCCGAGCCCGTTTCCTTGGATCTGCCGAGGCTTGACAGCAGCATAGAAGCAGTGCAGTAAACTTCTCGATGTCACGAGTCTTGGACAGTTCTCCGCTATGCCCCTGATATGCAACCGTTCTCGGTGATCCAAACCCAATTGCCCAACTGTTGAAGTGCCAGTTTATCGCGCAGGGGAGTGAGGAGTTGGGCCGGAAAACCTGGGACGGCTATGCTACCCAGATTCCCAGTTCCGAGGCTGAACGATGGTGCGACGCCCCAAAGACGGAAGCGTCGGGCCTAGGCTTGCGTTGAGGCAGTGGGTCCGCATCCATCCTTTGCATAGGCGACTTGTGCTGTATCACTGTAGACTGCAGAGACCTCGGATCCCAAAGTTTAGCCCTTACAGAGTCAGCTTGATCGACCGAGCTGTGATCGGTACGCATCACGCGTAGGATCGCGTAGGGCTGTGGATCCCGAGGGCCAGCTCCCTCCATGGGCTCAGCAACGCCGCTGAAGAGAGCCTCCTGAAGGCTCAGCAGCAGCACCCTGGCCGCAAGTACTCTGCAACTTTCTACTGTACTACATCCACCATCACAACCACAGCCAAACAGCCACCAGCAGCATTGCCAGCGACAGCCACGGCCACCTTCGCCCTGCTACCCGTGCATACCCGTGCTGTGGTGTGTACCTAGGGCTCGAAGGAACAAGCTCCGTCCAAGCAATCGTGGCGTGTATGCTCATGGCCCGCGAAATCATGATAGGAAATGGCAATGCGATACTGCTACTGCTACTGCTACGCGACTACTACTACTACTACTACTACTACTACTACTACTACTACTACTACTACTACTACTACGACTTCTACTACTGCTACCACTGCCACTACCACGACCACTACCACTACCACCACCGCCGCCACTCCTGCTGCTACTACTATTACTACTACTACCACTACCACTACCACTACCCCTGCCGATGCCGCTACCCCTGCCACATACTGCCATAGAGGATTCGTTTGACTGCGCAGTTCACACTTGGACCTGTCCCGACCCCCCTTGAAAGCTTCTAGGCCACTTGATCTTGTAAGGTTTTGGTGCCAACAGCTCAAGCTGCATGACCAGATAGAGGATATCAAGCCTCTGTATGCAAAGCTGTGGCTAAAAGCGATCGACGAGGAGGAGACGCAGGCTCTTCTGTTTTGTGCATCGAACTGTAGGGGAACATGCGGTGCGAACCATCTGCGTTAGCCCTACTGCCAGGTTGCGGAGAAAGTGCGGCTTGAAACAGGAGCCGCTGTGAAGACGGATGAAGGCGAGGCAGAAAGGAACGACTCCGGGGAGGACGAGACGGAGGAGGATGGTTCAGACGATGACACTGAGGAAGGCAGCGACGAAAGCGAACTTTCGGACGGGGACATGGACTTGGATGCGCATCAAGGCTGGGATAGGGGAAGTTCGCGAACAATCCCTCTTTCTGCTGCTCAGTGCAGGCACTGAGTGCACAGACCTCCGCAGGCACAAAGTGGCAAAGCGCATCGCCCCTCGACAGACCGTCAGATGCCGCAGCGTTTGAGCAGCCCGCATCCCAGTTGTTCAAGGGACTTCTCGGCACGAAGTCTGACAATTAAGGGAGCTGTAGCCGTGGTATCTCTGAAATCCCGTCGAGGCAGCGTGCAAGGCGTGACAGCAGTGCCAGCTCGGTCCAGTCCTCACGGGCTCCTGCAGCAGCTGCAATTTGCCTCCCAGAGACAGAGGTCCTCTCCGCCAGAGATCAGGTGTTCAAGAAGCTGCAGAAGGCTCCAGATGATCAGCCTCATAGTTGTTATGTTGCAGTGGCTTTTGGAGTTGAGAACAGCAGCAGAACAAATCTACATGACATGTTGCCCCAGACTTGGAGAGCCATGATGAACCCTGAGCTTGGAAATGGGCCACCACCTGGCAGATACTGACTGCGAAAGCCCGGAGAAAATCACGCTTGGTCCTCGGTCACGGCACCTGGGAGAAGGCGAAGCTGGGCTGTTGTTACGGAACTTAGTTTAAGTTACAGTACCGTAAAACAAGGAAGCAATATCATCTACATGCATAGGTTATATATATATATATATATATATATATATATATTGGCTGGAGGAAAAGTCCACGGAATGAGACCAAAACCTGCCCTATTGATGCGATGAGTGTACATGCACCCCGAGTGACCCAGCGGGGGGTTCTGCTGATCTTGGTTCCCCTAAGGCCGGACTTGCAACATATTCTTGGTCTCACCCGTTGAAGGCCGGCACCTAAGAACCAAAGCAGGAGACTTCGGCTTTTTCATATGAACTCAGTAATTCTGTCCCTGGCCACTGAAGGTGAGAATGCATCTTTAGTTCTGCCACCCTTCAGCCACAGTCTCAGCATTCAACGCCGACGGCGTTGTTGTGCAAAGTCACAAGGTACCGGAAGCTAAGATCATACTCATCGCCACCATAATAGGGCAGCTTGTTTGTGCAACTCCGTTATCAGTTCTCCGTGCCCAAGTGAGATGGAGACAGCCTTCCAATAGCACTGATGTGCACACACTCATTGGGACTGCTACCCAGTCTACTTGCCGAGCCTGAGTCTAGTCCTTGTCTTTCTCTGATGCCCTCAAACTCTTGCTTGAAGTCTCGGGCAGTCCCGACACCCCCCTCCCTTCTTCCGAGGCCCCAGCGAGGTCTTTGGGCCAGCGGATGTTGAGCGAATGAAGCAAGTACGAGACTCCCCGCCGAAGTGTCCAGGCACATGGATGCGAATAGCTTCGCATTGAAATTGAAGCCTCGACTGCCAGTGGAGGCCCCGAAGGCCTTCGAATGCTCAAGGAGTTGGTTGCCGAGATCAAGAAGGTCGAAGCTGCGAGCGGAAGCCTCAGCACTCCTGCGAGCGCTTTTGAAGGCTTTCCTGCGGCATGGAAGCCGCGCCAACGAGGTGAGTCTGCTTCCATTTACATGGGTGGTGCTTCGATGCAGGCCGAACAGGCACCATCCGTTACCTGCATCCGAGTTCCATGTGTCGTGAAAGCTTGGCACGCCCATGTTAGGCTTGAGGATGTGACACGCTCTCGGATGTGTGCCTTTTGCAGCAACTCCGAGGAGTGTTGCCAAGAGTGTGAAGATAGAGGCCTGGAAGGCATTATTCTTGCCCGAATAGGGTTCCAGAATCGCTTCTGTGCCCTGTACACAATTCGCATTCGTGCCAGGGTTGCCCGTGCAAGTCGCAACTACAAGCAGCGACATGCTTCAGGTTTCAGGAGCTTTGAAGATTCATGGGCAACCCTTGCTTGACCTGATTTTCTGCAGCCTTGCCTCACCCTTGTTCTGACTGATATGTGCAACTGACAATTGAAGAAAGAATCCTTGCCGCACTCCTTGCTGAGAGGCCACGGGGTGCATGAAGGGACAGGTTGCAAGTTTGCTGTGGCATGTTCGAAACTGGTGGAGATCAGCGCATGACAGCAAAGCCCACGCACCGTGTGTGATGCGCGCAGGTTGAAACTTAGAAGAGGTGACATCCTGATTGCCGGGACAGATGGCCTCTTCGACAACATCGGGGACAGTCTGAGCTTGAATCACTCTACTGCTTTGGCTGTGGCCTTTGCATCGTCCACTCAGTCCAGTGCTGACACGCAACTGTGCTGGAGGATTTGGAGCTCAAGTCCCTGGCGCTCACGCACCACGAGAGCGCGGGCCTTAGTGAGTGGCTGCAGGGCTGTTCGCACGGCCACGAGCGTCAGGGCGCACGGCAAGTGTTGCCAGCTCGACACAAGACATGGCCGACGCGCGGAGGCCTCAGCGCACGTGCTCAGGCGGATGAAGGGAACTGCCTGCCTCGTTCTTCTGAACGGGGTGGCAACTTGAGGCTTCTGGCGCGGGCTGCGGACGTGGTGGCAGCCCCAGAACTTGCAGTTGAGTCAATCGGCCGCTGTGGATCCTGAGTCCTGAGTGATTTCCAGGCCCGTTCGCCCATGGAGTTCGGCCCGGGCGGAAAGCTGTGGGCTCAGATGACTGGGCTTCAAGTTCGGCCCACGGCACCAGCAGAATGGGCTAAGGCTGGATGATATAGCTGTGGTGCTCGCAGAGGCTTGGCGACTTCAAAGCAAAATCTCTATGATGAGTATGCGATCTTTGGAATTCTCTTCCTGCGCCCGTGCACACCCAGCAGGTCCAAGACTCCTCGCCAGTGTCACCGGCGGGCTTTCTCTCCAACCTTGCCCCGGCCCAACATGCCTTGAGGTTGGTAGCCATCAGATAAACTCTTCTTCTTGCAATTTTTTCTGGCCATGACCTTCGCGAGCAAATGACAAGAACATCCGGAAGCGAGTTAGATCAAGTCAGTGTTTGGGTTTCTCCCAACACGTGCCGAGGTCGAGGGTGACGAGTGACATGTCCAGGGATGTTCCAGTCCAGAGGACGCAATCCTTAAACCGTTTCACACAGGTCGATGCTGCAAGGCCTCCGCACAGCATGCGACCTAGGGGCCAAGGGCCTCCAATCATTATATGTACAACTTCAAAATACTCGGACACTCGACACTCCAAAGGGGTGCAGTACAAAAGGGCCAGTTGTGGCCAGCACGTTGGCTTCATGTCAGAGTAGCCCTCACTTCTGCGTTGAGAAGCATGTATCATTCGATATATGATCCTCACATTCTGTTTATTTTTCTCATGTTCCACTCAGTCATTTTCACACCTTTACTATACGCGCAATACAGTTATGTTCAACTTATACAATTGTGATAAAACCAAAACCACATTTTCCAAAGATAGTACAAACTACATTGCAACTGTAGTATGGTTGTATTCTAGTTATAACGGAGCGATATTATAGATTGCCAAGCTGGTGACTGTTTACTTAGCTGCAAGAAGCGCAGAAGGCAGCACACTGCCCTTCGAGGGCTGTTCGAGATCGAGTCGCTCTCAGAAAGATCGCGAAAATGTACATGCGAAGTGCCAATGACAAATAATTTTAACGCTACGCGGCCCGCCTCGGCTGTTTAGCGGCAGGGCGAGGGGGCAGTCGATGTTGTATACATGCTAGGGCCTCTCAACCCCAACCTTTACACGGTTGATACCGGAAAAAAAGGGGGAGGGGGGGGAGGGGGGGGTGAAACCATAAACCTCTAAAGGGGTAGCTCTAACAGGTACCTACAGCAATGGCTGCATGCTCATACATATACATTCCGCTGCCCATTGGCTCAAGTGGTTTTACCATATTGAGACAAGACAAGCTCTCCTTGCGTAGCAAGACAAAACAACTACTGTCCGTGTGCAGGGCGCTGCCCTTTGATCCTTAGGGAATAAACTGGTCATACACCTCCTTACAAGGAGTATCCCTTGGGGGTGTATCGGCACAGTTTTCTGGTAGCGGAGCCCGGAAAGGGCCGCCCGCCTCACAAAGTCCGCTACAGCGGTCGGCCTCGCCGAACGCTTAACCAAGCGGATAAGAGGCAGCACAATGTCGAGCTCGCATAGCGAAGCCGACGGCAGTTCCCAATCCTCCGGGGGATATGAGAACGAAGAGACCTCCCAAGGTCCAGCCACTTATGTCGCACAGTCATATGCAACATCTGACCGCATGCTTGCATCATTAGGCATAACGCCCAAGATCGCGCCTGCCTATGATGGCACCACCTCGTGGTTTGAGTATGAACAGTTGATTGACGACTGGTGCGACATAACAACGCTGGATGACACCAAAAGAGGTCCGTCTCTCAAGACGAGGCTCTCCGGATTGGCCGCAGTACAAAAAGAATCACTCAACCGAGAAAGGCTTGCAGCCCCAGATGGAGTAGATTACTTCAAGAAGAAGATGCGTCCATTTTTCGTGAAAGGAGAACAGTACGTTTTCCTGTGGCGTTTCCTCGGCCTATTCAAGGCATGGAAGGGCAACCAAGACTTTGTGACTTGGATTGCTAAGTTTGAGATCGTGCTACAGCGCGTGAAAAACTCATGGATGGATCTCTTACCAGAGATAGCTCTGGAAGATGCCCATCCAGATTTCATGCAGGCTGTGCAGGCAGATCAAACCTTCTTGCGCCTACAGGATGCAACCGAGAGAGACACATACGCCGCACGTTTCTTCGAAACATGGAACAAGGAACGCCTTGATAATCATCGAAGAGCGTTTCCTCTAAATGATAATCTCCTAGCTCTCCTCTTCCTAGTGCAGTCCGACCTAAATGAGATGCAACGTGAGAGGTTGGTAACAGCATTGACCAACCAAGGTCACCGAATTGAGACCTACACGTACCCTGTGGTACGGCAGACCATGTTCGATCAGTTCTCAACGACCAGAACTGGTCTGCAGGATCCCAACATTCGGCACTCTTCTCACAAGAAGGACCGCCATGGAAGGAGAGACCAACGCCGCAAACGCGGAGGTCGAAACTTCCTCATCCTCGATCAGGGTGAATACGACGGAGTCGATGGATTCTGGCTCCAAGACGAAGACACCCTTGAGGAAGGCTTTCTTGCCGCCGAGGATGAAGAAGCTGTCTTCTGGACAGTTGACGACCATGAAGCCTTCGTTGCAAGGAGATTCAAAAAGGGAAGAAGACCAAGAATGCGTCCCGGATCACCGGGAAGAGCAAAGGGTGGCAAGCGAAAAGGACGTGGCCGTTTTAGGTCATACCGCGGAAAAGGGAGAGCCAACCAGGCAGAACATGATCCAACTGATTCCAGCTATTTCGGTAAAGGTAAAGGAAAAGAAAAAGGAAAAGGTGGAAAAGGCAAAGGAAAAGGAAAGGACAAAGGAGATAAAGGAAGCTCCTTCAAGGGTACAAAATCAAAAGGCAAAGGTAAGGATACAGCTAAGTCTGCCTCCTTACAAGGAGACCAAACTGGATCTCCACAGGCCTATGAAAGTTCCACCGCACCGAGCTGGGATTCATGGTATGAGGACAGTTATTATACTGACTCCAGTTGGAATTATGCCGCTTACGACGATCAAACGTCTTACACATACTATGCATCACAAGCCTCACGAAGAAAGACACGGAGAAAGAAGAGAAGAAATCAAGCAGGATCATCAGGTAGAGGCACAGATCCGAGCGCGCACCAAGAACCCGTGTACAACTCATCAGTGAGTTACGTGCCCCAGGTCTCTGAACCATCCGAGGGGCAAGGTGTGGAGACTGCAACAGCAGTGTTTCCGTTGCAGCACACCGTCCTATCTGCTCTCACAGAGCGGATCAATCTTGATAAGAGCCCTACCTTTGTCATACTTGACTCAGGTTGTACTAGGGCTATGGGTTCCCGCTATGCGGTGAACAGGCTTATCAAGGCCGTGAAGCAACATGCCCCAGGCATGATTGATTTCACTTTTTCACCTTCGAACACGAAGTTCTCTTTCGCAGATAGTGAAACAGCTCTTATCAAGGAGCGTGTAACTCTATGGTTTAACACAACTCCAAGAAGAGATACAACCATAGAAGTTTTGGATCAGGGAAGAGTCCCCATTTTGTTTTCCATCGAACAGATGAGGAATTTAAGAATGACCCTCGAGTGTAGTCCCACAGCTGACCTAGCAACGTGTGAAGCTTTCGGTTTGTATAAAACCCCTCTTCCGATTAGTACCAATAACCATTTGGTATTGGACCTTCTAGGCTTCACTTCCACCAGGAAGTATCTCCCTAAGTCAGGTACGTCGTTCAGTGCGACGGAGACTGCTCTAGGAGCCAAGAAGCCCTATGTTAGGATACCGGAAGGTCGCTGTCCAGCCTGTGCCGGACAGAAAAAGGCTCACACGTACCTCAAGGGCTGCGACAAAGCACCTGAGGGAGCAGCTGATCCACCACCGAAGAGGATTTCAGGCAAAAAGAAGCCTCTTCCATTTGATCCGGCAGAATCATCTGCCAAGAAACCTGATCCACCAGAACCATCTGGTGATGTTCCTGAGCCTTCCGGACCATCGGAACCATCATCAGGCTCTAGGGACAAACCTGCAGAATCCTCTGCACCACATGAACCTCCAGAAGAAGAAAGACTTGAGGTTCCATCTGCGAAGATAAAGACTCCAAAGGGTCTTAAAAACCTTCTGAAGAAATCCCGCAAATATGCGGTTAAACCTCCTGTTGAAGAGAAGTCTAAGGTCCCAGGAGCTGATGACGGGACGGAGGTAAGACCACTTGAGTCAAGAGAATACCCGGCTCCTGGTACAGACTCACCTACAGGTGAAGAGATTGTCGCAGAACCATCGCCATCTCTTCCCATTGCTCTTCGCAGGATTCATGAGAAGCTTAAGGACCCGGTAGAACTCTATAAGCTTCACCTCAAGCACCGTCATATGAGTACGGATCAGTTCAAGCGACGCACAAAGGCCTTACAGATCCCAAAGGAGATCTACGAGCTATATGACCAACTGGTCAAAAAGTGCTCAGCCTGCCAGGAACATGTGAGAGCTCCTTCGAGAGCGAAGATTTCTGGTTTAAGATCAGAGACTTTCGGTGATCTCACCTTCGTAGATCACGGTGAGCTTCCAATTCCCGGCAAGGATAGTCGCTTAGTATTTCTTATTCTCTATGATGGAGCAACAAACTTGTTGACTGCCGAAGTAGTCCAGGATAAAGAAGAACATACTACAATGTCGATTATGAATGACTACTTTGAGAAATTTCAGATCAACCCAAAGGTTGTAGTTGGAGATCAAGCATTCATGACTCCAAAAATGGAGGCTTATTACAATCGGCAGAATATCAAGCCTGTGGCAACAGGACCTGGAACACCATGGCCCAACAGGGCCGAAGCTGCTGTAAGATTGCTGAAGCATCAGATTAAGCTCATACTTCAGATCCTGAAGGATGGTGACCCGCAGTATAACGGAATCACCATGAAGTATGGCAACCTCGTTCGCCAAGCATGTTTGGCAAGAAACTCTTCGATTACCTACGGAGGAGTTACTCCTTTAGAAATGGCCTTTGGAAGGCGTCCTCGAGATGTTATAACACCAGAGAACGCTGATCCCAATCAGTTGACAGGTAATCCAACTGATACGGAAGTCACTGCGAG